TCTTAACTACCTCTCACAGTGCAGGACACAGCTAAACAATCAGGGATTATCTCATGTAAGCACAAAGGAACTGTGAAGAGATCTGAGCATGAGCATCAAGACACCTGAGGGACTGCACTCTGGCTCTGCCTTTAACTTGCTGTGTAACCCTGGCCAGTGTGACCAGTTGTCAGTCTGGAGGGTCCATTAACACTTGGAAATAAGGAAATATGATCTCCCTGCCTGAGAGGTAAACTGCATGACGGAACTGAATATTCATTCATTCTTCCAATCAAGAAATAGTTATCAACCATCTCCTATGTGCTGAGAAGACCCTGTGCCCAATGGCACAATCACAGATGAGATCCTGCTCTCATGGAGTTTGCATTCACCATGAGACAGAGGTAATAGCAAATTGTTGAACAAGTTAAATTCATACAGTACAGATAGTGATAACAGCTTTGAAACAAATGTGATAAATGAGATAAATGGATGGCACTCCAGATCAGGTGATCAGCGAATCCCTGAGGAGTTGTCATCTTGTCTGAAACAAGAATTGACTCAAAGACCATGAGTTTGGGTTTTGGGAAGCCACTCCCAGTTCATTTGGCTGCTAATGGAAAGGCTGAGAGTTGGAACCCACCCAGTGGCTCCATGGGAAAAAGACCAGGGCTTTGAATCAATTCCTTCCAGTTCGATCCCCTGCTGGGAATTTGCATTCCCACCTCAGATATACGAAATCAGAATCTTCATTTTAACAAGATCCCCAAGTGATTCTTACATATATAAATTTTCAGCAGAGGGGTTGAAGCAGAAAAACTGTTTCAAAGCCCTGTCACAAACTCCTTGGGCCACCTGGGCTCCTTGCTTAGTCTTACCAAACCCTTTGCTATTGAGTCGAATTCCAACTCATAGTGACCTTACAGGACACAGTAGAACTGCCTCATAGGGTTTCCAAGGCTGTAAATCTTTAAGGAAACAGACTGCCACATCTTTTTCCCGCAGAGTGGGTCATGGATTCCAACTGGCAACCTTTTGGTTGGCAGCCCACTGCTTAACCATGGCAACAGCAGGGCTCCTCTTTTTTTTTGAGGGGGGGGGGCGGCTAATCTTAAACCTCTGGTAGCATAGTGCCTAAGGCACTTGACTTCTAACAAGAAGGCTGGCAGTTCAAACCCACCAGCCACTCCTCAGAAGGAAGGTTGGGCAATCTACTTCCGTAGTGATACTGCTTCGGAAACCCAAGGAAGGGTCGCTATGAGTCGGGCCGACTCGACTGCACATAACAATAACAACAACAATCTTAAACCCCAGGAGCTCTGGTAGTGTAGTGCCCAGGGCACTTGACTGCTAACCAGAAGGCTGGCGGTTCAAACCCACTAGCCACTCCTCGGAAGGAAGGTTGGGCAATCTACTTCCATAGTGATACTGCCTCGGAAACCCAAGAAGGGGTCACTATGAGTCGGGTCCGACTTGATGGCATATAACAACAACAACAATAACAACAACAATCTTAAACCCACAAACCCACAGCCACTCAGTTGATTTCTACTTAAAGCAACCCTAGAGGACAGAGTACAACTGCCCCATAGGTTTCCAAGGCTATAAATCTTTACAGAAGCAGACTGCCTCACCTTTTCTCCAGGGACTGGTGGGTTCAAACCTCTGACTTTTTGGTTAACAGTTGAATGCTTTAATCACCACACCACTAGATCTCCTTTGCCTGATCTTCGTAGTGCTTAATTAAACAATAGTGTTTTGATGCACACAATGACAGAAATCTAGAGAATTCTTTCAAAAATAACTTTTAAAAAAAGGTCAGCCTTTTTAAAGACTCTGCCCAAGTAACATAGGATGCTTTCTTTGAGGAGATGAACTATATCAAACACCCACTGAGATCTCCAAGTGCACTTTAAGCTCATCTTTTGCTGGAAAAGATTTCACTTGTGCCTTCTCCAAAACACATTCAGACTCTGGTCTCACTTTTTGTTGTTGTTAACTTCCATTTATTTTCCTTAGAGGGGAGAATGGAATTTATTTGCATATTTTCACATTTTTTCCTAAAGTGTCGCTGTGGCATGTGACATGAACTAAATAGAGGAATTTGGCCTAACAATGAACAGGGAGGGCGGGGACTTGGAGGCATAAAGGATTGGTTTGCTTAGGAGCTTTATGAAAGTCCAGCAACCAAGTGTGAGTGAGAACAAAAGCTGAATGGAAACCTGAGCCAACTGAAACTTAAGTAACAAGAAGACCAACTTCCCTAGTAAAATAAGAAAACCGTTGAAAATGGAAAAGGATGTCTAAAGAGCTAACCTTAGAAAGAGGACAGCACCCTAGTAAAGAAAGAGATTAAATCAATTCTCTTTCAAGGAAGAAAGAACCGGTTCTAAAAACCAAAGCTGACTGATGCTAATAATTTAATTGAAGTGACTAAGTTAGTATGAAGGACAACTATGCATATTACACAGAAAACAGGAAAAGTCTACACAGTATGATACTGAGTAAGGACCTAGTGTTGTAGAGAGATGACAAGACAAGTGTATCTGTGGTTATTAATTGGAACTGTTGTTGTTGTTGTTATATGCCGTCGAGTCGCCCCGACTCATAGCGACCCCTCCTTGGGTTTCCGAGGCAGTATCACTACGGAAGTAGGATTGCCCAACCTTCCTTCCGAGGAGTGGCTGGTGGGTTTGAACCGCCAGCCCTCTGGTTAGCAGGCAAGTGTCTTATCCCTATGCAATTCAATGAGAGCCATGTCCACACACTCTGAAAACGAGTACAACTCACTGAACTACAGTAACCCTGGAACTAGTTTATAAAACTCAGAAAACAGAGTTTTTCAGAAAAACTCAGGGAAAAAATATCACTAAGGCATTTGTGTTTGGTTTGATAATTTTTAATTCCCCTTGAAACAATAATGTTTATAAAGATTACATATTTTAAAAACCCATAATAGGGAACACATCTGTATTCTTTTCCTATTGCTGTTATAACAAATTACCACAAAGTTGGTGGCTTGAAACAACATAAATTTATTGTCTTACAGTTTGAAGTCAGAAGTCCAAAGTGAGTCTCACCAGTCTAATATCAAAATGTCAGCAGGGCCACATTCCTTCTGGAGTCTTTAAGAGAGAATTCATTTCCTTGTCTTTTCCAGCTTCTAGAGGCTGCCCTCATTCTTTGGTTCACAGCCACCTTCTACTTTCAAAGCCAACAGTTGCAGGTCAAGTCTTTTCTCACACTCTATCACTCTACAACTGACTCCTTTTCTGCCTGCCTCTTGCAGTTTTACGGACTCCATGGTTACACTGAGCTCAACAGGATAATCTATTTTGCAGTCAACTGAGTAACAGCCTTAATTCATCTGCAATCTTAATTACTCTTTATTATATGTAACATGTAATATATTCACAGATTCCAGGGATTTAGGATGTAGTTATCTTTTTTTTTTGGGGGGGGGGGAGGTGTCATTATTCTGCCTACCACAACTTTCAGCGTTAAACTCTAATTGCAAAATGAACATTAATGCTATCAACAATGCTGCTATCTTAGATTTGCTCAGCACATTTACAGATGTTACACATTCTTCTCTATGCCTGAAAGATAAACCTTGTACATAAAGCATGCTCAAACAAGTTATACTGCCTCCTTATAGGATTCTTGTTTTAAAGGGAGCTTTCCTTTATTTTTCAGATTCTGATGATTTAAAAAGAAAGATACAGAACAACTTCTGAAATCTTATCTCTTTTTGGAGAGATTAACAGTATCCTAAAATCATTACTTTTTTGTCAAATCATAAAAGTTTGCACTGGAGAAATAGAAAAAGCTGAGCATTTAATGTGTTTTAAAACACCTGTTGAAGGAAATTTTTAAAAATTTAATTTTACTTCAAGAGAACAGAAATAGTGGTCGTGAGGAAAGAGGCAGTTTTTCTTTCAACTTTTACTCAAAAGCAAAATAAATTTCCACAAATTAAATAGAAATATCTTTTTATTTTCATTTAATTTTATTCTTTTTCTTATGGATACATTCAAAACAATCTATAATTCTCTTGGCAAAACAGCCCCATCAAGCATTGTGCCAATCTCTCCCTTGGGGATGCACTCAGTGAAGGGAAGGGAAAAAACGAGGTTAGACACCTGTCCCCAATGGAAAACGTAAAAACACACCTGGAGAGCAGTTCAGACAAAGGGAGCCAAGGTGGGGGGAAAATAAAACAGTAATTGGAGAGGAAGGAGACTGTTTCCAATCTGTTGCTGGTTTATAAGGGAAATCTATTACTGGATGAAAGGGGTACAGTAGCAGTACAATGAAAACTAGGACAAGGCGTGGCTAGTGCCAAATTATCTCCTTCAAGTCTCAGCTTTGATGACACTCCTTCCAGGAAGTTTTCCCAGCGTGCCCTGTACCCAGTCTGGATCAAGGAACCCGCCTGAGATTGCGAGGCATCCTGTGCCCATCTCCTTAAGGCATTCATCATTTACTTATTCATACTAAGTACCTAATACGCTCTAAATGCTGGGGATAAAACATTAAAAAAAAAAAAAAAAAGGCATTGGCAGTACTTACCATGCGACATTTATTTCCATTAGTCTTAGCTGTCTGTCTCTCCCACAACTGCTTCTAGGAAGGGGTCCATTTGTTTTTTGCATGCTGGGGTGTAGCATAGTACCTGGCACAGACTAGGTGCTTAATGAACGAAGGAATGGCTTTACAACATGTTTCTGATGAGGGGGCTATATTCTTATGCCTTAGCTCTACAGCAGGGGAGACGGGAGAAGGGGGCGAGAGGAGGCGATAGGGTAGACAGGATGAGAATGGGAAAAGCATCTTTATTTGGAGTGAACAGCTTTCTTTTGTGACTATTTGTCCTGAACTAAGAAGAGTGTGGGAGTCCAGGGCAAGATGGGGAAGGTCTTGCTCCTCCTCCTCGTTTTTCCCGCGTGCAGGAGAGTTGGGAAAAGGGAGCCCGAGAAAGGGGTTCGCGCTGCTTTCCCGCGCCCACCCGACCTCCTCACCAGGTCAATGGCCACGACGTCCTGCAGTGCCACGACCCGCCGAATGGACTTGGGCGGGTTCTCGGTCAGGTAGATGACCCGGTCGCTGAGCACCACATACTTGAAAGTGTGGTTCTCTGAGTCGGACACTACGACGCACGACTCGTAGGCGCGGATGGCGTCGTAGATCTCGGGTGGCAGGTGCCGCCGCAGGAATGCGTCCAGGCGGCTATTGGTGCGCGCGGGGAAGCCGCGCGGCGTGAGGCTGGCCATGAGCTGCGCCGCAGTCTGGCAGAGTGCGGGGCGGCGGGCGCCTCTGGGGTCCGGCCCCGCCTCCGCACCACCCACTGTGGAACCCGCGCGCGCCACAAAGCTCGCCCGCCCAGCCGCAGCCGCAGTCGAGGCTCCTGGGCGCGGGGAGCGGGCCTCCTACTCGGCGGCTGGACAGTGGGATCTGGTTTCCCGGAATATTCCTGCCCCGCTCCCCAAATTCTTGTCCTAACCTCAGACAACAGTGGGCAGGCAGGACTCTTGTCCTGCAGTCTGGATTGACCAGGACGTCAGGTTTATCCCTGTGAGCCTTCCTAGGGTTGGAGGACGGATACTTAGTGGCTCTCTGCGCCCTTCTCTCTCGCCAGCTCCCGCCTATTCCACTTACCGCAGACCAGTTCATCCATTTCACTTTATTGCTATAGAAGGTCACTTCTATTACCTGATTGTTGTTGTTACGTGCCGGGGAGTCGGACCGACCCATAGCAACCCCTCCTTGGGTTTCTGAGGCGGTATCACTACGGAAGTAGATTGACCAGTCGTAGGGAACGAATTTCCTAACACTTGAACAAGATAGAATTTACCGATTTATTTTTAAATAGGCAGAACAACGTTAGAACTTTAAGATCAATCACAGACTTAGCATTTGGTTATAACATTGTCTGATACAGCTCTCTAATTTTGTCAAGGCTACAAACGTAGGTCTTTTTTTTCTCCCACTAGTTAAAAGCTCTCTGAAGGAAAATCATACCATAAATTGATTTGGGCACCCCTGATCCTAGGTAATAGATATGCTTGTGTCCCTAGTACCCAGGACAAGGCCTGTTAGACAGCTGGGACTCAATCTACATTGGATAAATGGATGGATGGATGCATTCATGATGCATGGATGGATAAGTGAGTGAATGATCTGACATCTTAAAAAGGTGTAGCTTATTGATTGATGAGTAAATGCTGATTGCATAGCCCTGAGGCTGCAGGTGAGTACTACTACTACTCACTGCGTTAAAGTATTATGAATTAAGTTAAAGACAGGACGAAAGAACAACAGAAACTTGCCTCCAAAAATCCTAGGTCAGAACTTTTTATCAATGCTAGAAAAGTCACTGGGCTCTCTCTCCTTCCCCATTTACCCAAAGATATGGTAATGAAAACCATCTGCTCTTGACTTGCAATCCTGAGTCAAATCTGAGATTCTTTGTTACAATTTATATTCTCCCTTGTTCTGATTTATATTCTCCCTTTTCTCATCTTAAATCCTTTGTGGAAAGGATGTTTCAATCCATTAAAATGCATAAACAGATACTGTAACCTAAACAGCTACAAAAGGGAAGTAAGGAGAGATGTGTCTAAGAAGCACTGGTGTGGCAGTGGTTCAGGGCTCAGCTGCTAAATAAAAGGCTGGCATTTCTAAGCCACCAGCTGCTCCATGAGGGAACCATGGCAGACTCTGCTCCCATAAAGATTACAGCCTTAGAACCCTATAGGGCAGCTCTACTCTGTTCTGTAGGGTTGCTATGAGTTGGAATAGACTCAATGGCAGCAGTAGGACCAGTGTTTCGTTTCTTGGAAAAAGATGGTTATTTTGTGGTGAGGAGACAAGTGCCACCTGTTGGCAAAATCTTGAATGACTTAGCATGTACAGTTTTCTGAGGATCTGATCCTGTATCTGACTTCTCTTCATAACTGGATGAAAAATGAGCCACAGAGACATGATTATTTCCTTTGAAATACTATTCTCTATCAGAACCACTCCTAAAAAGGGTTTATTGCATCAAATCAACAGAAAGGCAAAGTCCCTTCACTTTTGCCTAACAGCCAAACCTCACAAGAGCCATTGAGAGTAAAATGGTACTATTGTCAATGGTGGAATGTGAGGCCCAAACAAGCAAAAAAAGACTCAATTCATGCCACTATTTGGCTATTCTATGTCTCGCAGGCTTCCTGCTTCACACTTACTTCTCAGGTAACTGGACTAAGAGAAACAGAATGACCAAAAAACACAGCGTACCTGATGTGCCTGCTGAGAAGCCCATTATGAATGAGTTTTTGGTAATGTTTAACAAATATTACATACACTGAAGTACACAAAGAAGAGAATTTAACACAATAACTAGTAGTAAAGATGACCTCAGTTAAGCTTTCAACTCTGTGGGACACAGAGAAAACAATATCATGGTTTCCAGGCACTTAGTGTTCTACACTATTGCCAAGGTAACAGCCAAGTTCACATTGCAGAAAAGGGGTTTAATATTAAGGAAAGAACACTGGCTAGGAGTCAGGAGAACTGAATTAGAGCTGTAGGTGTTGCTATCTGTGGGTTTTTGGAAGGTCACAACCTTTCTGAACTTCAGTTTCATCACTTGTAAAATAAAACTTCCTGCCTCCTTCTTATTAATTATGCCCCCCCCCAAATATGTGTTGTAAATCCAAACCCCTATGCTGGTTGTACTGTTATTTGGGAATAGGGTTTGCTTTCTCATGTTAATGAGGCCATATCAGTATATGTGGGGTGTGTTTCAAACCAATCATCACTATTGGGGTGTAAAAGGATCAGATTAGTCAGAGAAGCAAAGAAGCACAAGTAGGAGAGGTAGATGCTAAAGAACTGAGGAATGCCAGGGTAAAGAAGCTGAGACAGGGATCTTCCCGCAGGTCTGACAAACAGAGAGACTTCCCTTAGATCCTGTGTCCTGAATTTGGATTTCTAAATCGGTTAAGTTCAAGAAGTATTTGGCACAGCCACTGATCACTTTAACTAGATGTTTCTTGATAAAACTATCAAAAGAAAATGGAACATTACTTACTTGGAACTAATGCTCAATGATGTATTGCACTGGGTGAGCCTGCTGTAAGGCTTCTTTCAAGTGCTGAAGAGCAAAGATGTCTTTGAAGACTATGGTGCGCCTGACACAGGCCATGGTATTTTCAATCGCCTCATATGCATGTGAGAACTGGACAATGAATAAGGGAGACCCAAGAAGAGTTGATGTTTTTGAGTTGTGCTGGCAAAGAACACTGAAAGTACCATGGACTGCTAAAAGAACAAATAAATCTGTCCTGGAAAAAGTGCACCAGAATACTCCTTGGAAGTGAGAACAGCCAGACTTCTTCTCACCTACTTTGGTCATGTTGTCAGAAGGGACCATTCCCTAGAAAAGGATATCATGCTTGGTAAAGTGGAGGGTCAACAAAAAAAAGGGAAGGCCCTCAACAAGATGGATTGACACAGTGGCTGCAACGATGGGCTCAGGTATGGCAAGGATTGTGAGGCAATGTTTTGTTCTGTATACATAGTGTCACTATGAGTCAGAGCTGATTCGATGGCACCTAACAAAAACAACAATGTTCAAATGTACTCTCTTTGACTTTTACTGGGAGATCATTTCAGGCCCAAGGATAGTCAATTCAATTCACCTGTAGGCAATGGTAATGAGTATAAATTGTATAGCCAGATTGTCTGGGGTCAAATTCCTGCTCTCCCACTTAGCAGATAAATGACTTTGAGCAAGTTACTTCATTTCTCTGTGCCTTAGTTTCCTTATCCATGACCTATTGCACTGGGTTATTATGAGGATTAACAATGTCTCTAAAGTACTTAGAACAGGTGCTTAGAACAGAGTTAACACTATGTAAGTCGTTAAAAACTAAGTTCATGAAGTATGTGATTTACTGTTAGGTGTATCATTTGGCTCCCTATCTACAAAGTAAGATCCAGTTCTTTGCATGCAAATCTGATTTTTTTTTTTTTTTTTTTTTAGATTAAGGCTCAAAGCAAAAGTCAAATACATACACACCCAAATAGCATTTTTATTTTATTTCTTTTTAGTGGTGTTTTTTGGTGGATAAGTGATCAGGGGCCACCAGTCAAGAGACACCTCTAATGATTTCAAACTAGAAGTTTAAAATAGAAGTATCTCCTCAAGGGGACTGTTTTGGTTACCTAGTACTACTCTGACAGGAGCTCTGGTAGTGTAGTGCTTAAGGCACTTGACTGCTAACCAGAAGGCTGGTGGTTCAAACCCACCAGCCACTCCTTGGAAGAAAGGTTGGGCAATCTACTTCCATAGTAATACTGCCTCAGAAGCCCAAGGAGGGGTCACTATGAGTCGGGTCCAACTCAATGGCAAATAACAACACAACAGTACTGCTCTGACAGGAATATACCACAAATGGAATGGCTTTAACAAACAAGAGTTTATTTTTAGAATGTTTGGAGGCTGGAAGTCCAAATTCAAAGTGCTGGGCTCTAGGGACTGGGTTAAAGCTCCTCGACTTTGGGCTTCAGCTCTGCCTCTTGCTCCCAGCCCACTGAAGCTGGAGGCATCTCTTCACTCAAGCAGCTGCTAGCTACTGAGGCTGACAAACCCAGGGTGGACAAGTGAAAAGGCACAATCCCAATACTACCAAACCACACAGCAGGCCATTAATTCAAGTCTGTTGAAAGTCCCAAGATCAGCAGAGCAACATGGCAGGCTACTAAACAACAACTCAGCTACATGCAGGTTTCAAGTATGCCATCAACTGGAGACCTTCCTCAAAGTTGCTTCTTATAGACTGGAAGCAGCCCACATCCCTAAAGCAGCTACTCAGCTGCTCCAGTAGATTCCACCATAGAGTTGATTACCATTCTCACCATGGGGAATAACTACATCCAGCTGCCAGCCACTCAACCAGGCCCAGCCAAGTTGACAACAAGCTTTTAACTACCACAGGGCCTAAGAATCCCAAGTGTTCCCACTACCCTGCTTCAAACTAAAGACACTATGCATTAGAAAACCAAAACACCAAACCCACTGCCATCAAGTCAATTCTGACTCATTGGGCCTGATCTTGCTTCCATGGAGTGGCTTGTGGGTTTGAACCACCAACCTTCTTGTTAACAATTAGATGCCTTAGGTACTGTGGTACCAGAGCTCCTCCTATGCATTAGAAAGAGACTTGAAATCTGTGATAGGTAAGTAAAATGTGATTATTTATTTATTTATTTATTTATACTATTA